CGTCTCTTCAGACCTCCAAAGACACGCCCCCTACAGTCCGTCTCTTCTAAAGATACGACCCCTAAATCTCATCATGAACGTAAACAACAAACATCTCTCCTGTTAGAACAGCTGGTGGAAGACTCTGGTGACGACGAAAGACAGACAGGCAGTCAGGCAGACAGGTAGACAGTCAGACAGACAGCTCGAGACAACCGCAGATTCGTGATTGTTTTTCTTACTTTTTGTCAAAGCTTTTGATTCATTGATAGTTTTTCAGGATGTAACGAGAATTTAAACAACAACATCTCAGTGTCTTTGTGACGACCATCACCGAGTCTTTAAGGACATTTATTGTGGACGGACTTCAGAGGTAACAATGTCCTCTCAATGATAATGTGTGTTTCTGGTAAACTAACGTCCTGTGGTTGAGACCTGCACCTGAAGCTCTGCCGTTCACTCGGCCGGCTGGTGGTCGGTGAACCTCTTCAGGTGGTAGCGCAGCACTCCTTTGGTTTTGAACGTCTTGCCGCAGCCGCAGGCGTGAGGCCGCTCGCCGGTGTGGTCGAGCTGGTGGACCCGCAGCAGCGAGCTGGTGAAGAAGAACTCCCCGCAGGTGATGCAGTAGTGGCTCTTCTCTCCGGTGTGTTTGGTTCTCCGGTGGCTCAGCAGCGAGCCCGACGTGATGAAGCTTTGGCCACAGTCGCGGCATCCGAACGGACGCTCGCCGGTGTGGATCCTCTCGTGGGCCCTCCAGGAGTTGTGGTAGGAGAAGGACTTGTCACAGTACGAGCACTGGTACAGCTTCTCCTTGGTGTGGCTCAGTCGGTGCATCTTCAGGTAGTGGGCGATGGTGAAGCTCTTCCCGCAGTCGTCGCAGGCGAAGGGCTTCTCACCCACGTGGAACAGTGTGACATGAGACCTCAGGTGGGACGATTGGGTGAACCTCTTCCCGCAAGTGGTGCAGAGGAACGGTCGCTCCCCAGTGTGGGTGACCATGTGGGACTTGAGGTGGGGCGACTGGGTGAACCTCTTCCCGCACTCGCTGCACTTGTAGGGCTTCAGTCCGGTGTGGGTGCGGTGGTGCAGCTTCAGGCCCTGCAGGCTGGAGAAACACTTACCGCACTCTGCGCAGTGGTAGTCCCTCAGGTCCTCGTGGGTCCTCTGGTGGACCCGCATGCCGCTCAGCAGCTTGAAGGCTTTGCTGCAGGTGGGGCATTTGTGCGGCTTCCTGTTGGAGTGGGTCACCTGGTGGAGCTTCAGGCTCTGAGGGTTACTGAAGGTCTTCTTGCACTTCAAGCACGGCAGTAGCTTCGGGTTCTTGTGCGACTTACGGTGGAAGTTGAAACCCTGGTAGGAGACGAACATCTTGTCGCAGACTTTGCAGCGGTAGCACTTCTCCCCCTTGTGAACCTCCAGGTGCTCGTCGAGCTCGTCCTGCCCGCCGAAGCCGTCCCCGCAGAACCAGCACTTGAAGGGTTTGGTCCCGGAGTGTGTCCGGTGGTGCGTCTTCCAGTCCCTCTTCAGAGCGAAGGTCTTGTCGCAGTAGGAGCACCGGTAGGGCTCCCTGCGGTCGTGGATCTGCTGGTGGACTACCAGGCTCATCAGGGTCGGGTAGGTCTTCCCGCACCGCCAGCACTGGTTGGGTTTCTGTCCTCGGTGGGTTCTCAGGTGAGCCTCCAGGTGAGACCTCTTGTAGAAGCCTTTGGTACACTCGGAGCAGTAGACCATCTTTCTGCCCGTGTTCGTCGGGTGGCGTCGTGTCGACCTCTGGTGACATAACTGAGGGTGATCGTCTGTTGGGGATGATTGACAGGATGCACAAACATTTCTGTAACTTTTCTTAAAGGAAGTTAGAATAATAATAAATTACTCTGTTCTTACCAAGAGACAGGAAGTCCCGCCCCTCCAGCCACAGCCTGCAGTCGGTCAGTTTGACGGACAGCTTCTTGACGAGGGTGAAGGTCTGGATCTCTACTTCTTCTGGTTCTGGTTTGATCTGAACAGCCTGAAACTGATCAGGAGTGAAAGTACAACATGGTTACTCTAAGACTGAAGTATTTATGTAACAGAGTACTTCTACTGTAATAAAGTACTTGCACTGTAACAGAGTACTTCTACTGTGTGGTAGTAGAACTGTCACTGTGTGGTAGTAGTACTGTTACTGTGTGGTAGTAGTACT